CCTCTGTTCAACCTGAACTGGATGGACTGTTGCCTCTGTTCAACCTGAACTGGATGGACTGTTGCCTCTGTTCAACCTGAACTGGATGGACTGTTGCCTCTGTTCAACCTGAACTGGATGGACTGTTGCCTCTGTTCAACCTGAACTGGATGGACTGTTGCCTCTGTTCAACCTGAACTGGATGGACCCTCTGTTCAACCTGAACTGGATGGACTGTTGCCTCTGTTCAACCTGAACTGGATGGACCCTTGCCTCTGTTCAACCTGAACTGGATGGACTGTTGCCTCTGTTCAACCTGAACCTTGCCTCTGTTCAACCTGAACTGGATGGACCTGTTGCCTCTGTTCAACCTGAACTGGATGGACTGTTGCCTCTGTTCAACCTGAACCCTTGCCTCTGTTCAACCTGAACTGGATGGACTGTTGCTCTCTGTTCAACCTGAACTGGATGGACTGTTGCCTCTGTTCAACCTGAACTGGATGGACTGTTGCCTCTGTTCAACCTGAACTGGATGGACTGTTGCCTCTGTTCAACCTGAACTGGATGGACCCTTGCCTCTGTTCAACCTGAACTGGATGGACCCTTGCCTCTGTTCAACCTGAACTGGATGGACCCTTGCCTCTGTTCAACCTGAACTGGATGGACCCTTGCCTCTGTTCAACCTGAACTGGATGGACCCTTGCCTCTGTTCAACCTGAACTGGATGGACCCTTGCCTCTGTTCAACCTGAACTGGATGGACCCTTGCCTCTGTTCAACCTGAACTGGATGGACCCTTGCCTCTGTTCAACCTGAACTGGATGGACCCTTGCCTCTGTTCAACCTGAACTGGATGGACCCTTGCCTCTGTTCAACCTGAACTGGATGGACCCTTGCCTCTGTTCAACCTGAACTGGATGGACCCTTGCCTCTGTTCAAACCTGAACTGGATGGACCCTTGCCTCTGTTCAACCTGAACTGGATGGACCCTTGCCTCTGTTCAACCTGAACTGGATGGACCCTTGCCTCTGTTCAACGAACTGAACTGGATGGACCCTTGCCTCTGTTCAACCTGAACTGGATGGACCCTTGCCTCTGTTCAACCTGAACTGGATGGACCCTTGCCTCTGTTCAACCTGAACTGGATGGACCCTTGCCTCTGTTCAACCTGAACTGGATGGACCTTGCCTCTGTTCAACCTTACCAATGATGTAACTACTTAGTGTGGTCCCTACCTGCTCTTTCTTCTCTCTTCTATCTGTCACTTCTGACAAGTTATGCCAACAGCATAGAATCCCTGGAGATGAACTCTCCTCTACCTGCCAAAGACCACAAAAGGTAATTAAAGGTAATAATCCACGCCAATTAAAAAAAATAATCTCTGAGCCCCCAGGCTGTGTATGTCATAGCACATTATGACAGACTTGCCTAAAAACATCCAGCGGCACCCTGTCCTGGGAACTGGGGCTTCCATCTTCACCCTGCCTTCCTTCCGGTTCGTGGGCTTCAGCTGTATGAATGGCCAAGCTGTGAAGACATAACACCCCTGAATACTTGCAGAAGACACGGCCACAGCACAGAGCTCTGCAGGAACGACACGGGCATACCAATACTTCGGAGTATGGGCACCGGTGACATCACCGGCTGCTGCTAATGTAAATATCTCCTAAATGGTGCATGTTTAGGAGGTATTTACTGTACCAGTAGGTAACCTTAATATAGCCTTACCTATAGGTAAAAATCTGCATTGTGACTTTAAACCATTTTAACTGCCTCAGCTGTGCATGCTTTCCTATGAGACTGTAGAGGAGTGTGTGTCCTTTCCCTCCACTCAGGTCTGAGATTACACTCAGCTTCCTGCTCTATGCTTTGCAGGGCTTGACATCAGATCCCTTCACCGTGCTTTCTGGAGCTCAGAAATGCTGTGTGAAATGTTTGCTTTTGGAGGCTGTAGAGGAGAGGGTGTTAGCAGATAAACAGGTACAACTGATGGAGGATTTGCTTCATCTGTGTATCACCTGAGATCAGTCACTTGACTGGGTATCTGTAAGGGTGTATAACCACTTTAAAGAAATAAGTCCTGGAACATTATAAGGCATAAAGGAAATGGGAGGCAAGTTCCTGAAATATTGTCAGGGTAAGGGATAATACACTGCTCAAAAAAATGAAAGGGACACTCTGAAAACCCATCAGATCTCAATGGGGAACAATCTCCTGCTGGATCTCTATACTGACATGGACGGGTTAATGTAATAGGATCATAAGGATGCCCCACCGTTTTGAAAACGATCGACCTACAGAGGACTGAATTCAAAGACACCCCGAAAATCAAAGTGAAAAAATGATGCAGCAGGCGAGTCCATTTGGCTGAAATGTCATTGCAGCAACTCAGAATGGTCCTCAGTAGTTTGTATGGCCCCCACCTGCTTGTATGTATGCCTGACAATGTCGGGGGAGGCTCCTAATGAGACCCACGGATGGTGTCCTGGGGGATTTCCTCCCAGATCTGGACCAGGGCATCACTGAGCTCCTGGACAGTCTAAGGTGCAACCTGCGGCGTCGGATGGGTCGAAAATCATGACATTTTTTTTTTTTTTGTTCTATTGATTTAGGTCAGGAGAGTGTGGGGCCATTCAATGGTATCAATTCTTTCATCCCCTCCAGGAACTGCATTGCTTACTCTCGCGGCATCGGATGACCGAAACATGACATCCCATTGTTTTGCACCTATTGGATTTAGGAGGAGAAGTGTGGGGGCCCATGGTATCAATTCTTCACCAGGACTGCCTGCTTACTCCCAGGATGCCGGGCACTGCACCAGGAGGAACCCAGGACCCACTGCACCAGTGTAGGGTCTGACAATGGGTCCAAGGATTTCATCCCGATACCTAATGGCAGTCAGGGTGCCATTGTCTAGCCTGTAGAGGTCTGTGCGTCCCTCCATGGATATGCCTCCCCAGACCATCACTGACCCCACTGACCACAACGGTCATACTGAACCATGTTACAGGCAGCAGAACGTTCTCCATGGCTTCTCCAGACCCTTTCACGTCTGTCACATGTGCTCAGGGTGAACCTGCTCTCATCTGTGAAAAGCACAGGGTGCCAGTGGTGGACCTGCCAATTCTGGTGTTCAATGGCCAATGCCAATCCAGCTCTATGGTGCTGGGCAGTGAGTACAGGGCCAACTAGAGGATATTGGGCCCTCAGGCCACCCTCCATGAAGTCTTTCTGATTGTTTGGTCAGAGACATTCACACCAGTGGCCTGCTGGAGGTCATTTTGTAGGGCTCTGGCAGGGCTCATCCTGTTCCTCCTTGCACAAAGGAGCAGATACCGGTCCTACTGATGGGTTAAGGACCATCTACGGCCTGGTCCAGCTCTCGTAGAGTATATGCCTGTCTCCTGGAATCTCCTCCATGCTCTTGAGACTGTGCTGGGAGACACAGCAAACCTTCTGGCAATGGTACGTATTGATGTGCCATTCTGGAGGAGTTGGACTGCCTGTGCAACCTCTGTAGGGTCCAGGTATGGCCTCATGCTACCAGTAGTGACACTGACCCTAGCCAAATGCAAACTGGTGAAAAACAGAAAAGATGAGTAGGGAAAAAAATGTCAGTGGCCTCCACCTTTTAAAGCCATTCCTGTTTTGGGGTCGTCTCATTGTTGCCCATCTAGTGCACCTGTTGTTAATTTCATTAATACTAAAGCAGCTGAAACTGATTAACAACCCCTTCTCTGCTACTTACCTGACCAGATCCATATCCCAGGAGTTTAATTGATTTGATGCTATACTCTGATTAAAAAGTGTTCCTTTAATTTTTTTGAGCCGTGTATAAAGGAGTATACAGGGACATTATTGGGGTAAAAGATTATATAGAGGGGGATGGGGGAGTCCACATAGGGGATTTATAAGTCCAGTTAAGGCAGTGTCCCTCACCCTGTGACATATTGTAGTAATAAGGTATTGTGCAGCTATTTTGACCATTGGTCCCCATTCTCCTGTAGACTTGGGTAGTCTCCCCTGTTCTGATGGAAGCGAACAGAGAGTCTGTCAGGTAAGTGTCCCTCACTGCTGAGTATTTGGGGCACCATCAAAGTGGTCCCCATTAGCTAGGACTTGGGCTCCGTTTGCCCCCATAACGAACCACAGATAAAAGATTTAAACCGGCTACTAAATCAAATGTCAGCGAACCATCTTTGCCCTGTTTGCCCATAATAACAGGATAAAAGATTTAAAGTGTTACTAAACCCACACTGTACAATCAGTCTGTAGATGCAGGGTTGTTATACTCACTGTGGAACCTAAGGGGTTAATCCTACATATTGTGGAAAAAAAGGCTGTTTGATCCTGTCTGATCCTCCCCTTCTTCTAATGTTCTCAATCCATCTGCTCATAGTACAACGCTCTAGGAGGCACTCTTCACATGCTCGGTTTAGTGTGCGCGGCTAGAGAGTTTTGTATTGATTTTTTTTCCTTTTGGGAGGATGCATGCGATCAGCATAGGACAGCAAGAGCAGAATGAAAACTCCTCCTACAAGCTTTAACCAGCGCTCTGCTGGACACTGATAGAAGTTACAAGACTGCTATATACTGCTGATGAGAAAAGGTATTTAGCAGTTTATATTTACTAAAATAATTGCATTTCCATGTTCTGTGTACTGTGGGAGACCGGATATAGTGACTGCAGGGTCCGGAGAGATTGGATATAGTGAATGCAGGGTCCGGGGAGAGCGGATATAGTGAATGCAGGGTCCGGGGAGACCGGATATAGTGAATGCAGGGTCCGGAGAGACCGGATATAGTGAATGCAGGGTCCGGGGAGACCGGATATAGTGACTGCAGGGTCCGGGGAGACCGGATATAGTGACTGCAGGGTCCGGGGAGACCGGATATAGTGACTGCAGGGTCCGGGGAGACCGGATATAGTGAATGCAGGGTCCGGGGAGAGCGGATATAGCGAATGCGGGGTCCGGGGAGAGCGGATATAGCGAATGCAGGGTCCGTGGACACCGGATATAGCGAATGCGGGGTCCGGGGAGAGCGAATATAGTGAATGCGGGGTCCGGGGAGAGCGGATATAGTGAATGCGGGGTCCGGGGAGAGCGGATATAGTGAATGCGGGGTCCGGGGAGAGCGGATGTAGTGAATGCGGGGTCCGGGGAGAGCGGATATAGTGAATGCCGGGTCCGGGGAGAGCGGATATAGTGAATGCGGGGTCCGGGGAGAGCGGATGTAGTGAATGCGGGGTCCGGGGAGAGCGGATGTAGTGAATGCGGGGTCCGGGGAGAGCGGATGTAGTGAATGCGGGGTCCGGGGAGAGCGGATGTAGTGAATGCGGGGTCCGGGGAGAGCGGATGTAGTGAATGCGGGGTCCGGGGAGAGCGGATGTAGTGAATGCGGGGTCCGGGGAGAGCGGATGTAGTGAATGCGGGGCCCGGGGAGAGCGGATGTAGTGAAGGCGGGGCCCGGGGAGAGCGGATGTAGTGAAGGCGGGGCCCGGGGAGAGCGGATGTAGGGAATGTGGGGCCCGGGGAGAGCGGATGTGGGGAATGGGGGTCCGGGGAGAGCGGATGTAGGGAATGCAGGGTCTGGGGAGAGTGCATGTAGTGAATGGCGGGGCCCGGGGAGGGCGGATATAGTGAATGCCGGGTCCTGGGTTTAGTAACACTTTAAAAAAACTGTTTTTACAACCAACTTGTAATTCTCTCTAAGTGGCCCTTTAAATCTCACCATTAAATGAATGTCAATGAAGTGAGGATGTTAATAGTCGGCAGATAATGTATTAAATAGAAAGCCTCATCAGACTCCATGTCCTTGTCTGTGAAATCCCCGGTGTGTTCTTTTTGCTCCAAAAGCAAGCGTAATTTCCTGTGACTGATACAATCCCGGCTCTCCTCTTTATATTCCTCGCACGGCCGGTCTGTCTGGTCCCCATAAAGGACTGTGATGACTCTGGGTTCATATGAGGTGGATCTGAGCTGATGCCAGCCGGTGTGTATGGCGTTCAGGTATCTCCGTGTGTTATTACTGGAAGAACCGATGACGGCTGCCTGGCCAGAACAGTTTTCATGGAAAAGAATTCATCAAATGAAAACATAAAGTAAAGCGGGTACAATTGCTATACAAGCCAGATTGTAACGTGTTGTTAATAAAAATCAATTATCCTTTTCAATCTGCATCTGCTGTCCCCTTTTTTTTTTTTTTTTTTGTAAAAATTCAATGCAGAATGGCAACCCGGAGGCAATCTGTACACCACTGGTATACGGAACACCCTCAGAAATGTCATTTCCTGCTTGTGTGATTGGATCACTACATTTCCCAAATGACTGCAACAGTAGTTTTGGTGAGATACTCCCCAAGGGCTAATTAATGTTGAAGGGGTGCAGACCCTGCAGCTTTTCTCATTGGAACACTAAGAGAGCGCTGGATGATTATAAGGAACCAGACCCTCCCATTCAGAATCATTCTGCAAAGGACATGGTGAAACAAACAGCTGTTTTCTTCAGAGCCTCAGAAGGTAGGAATCTACTGCAGGGTGACTGCTCTTGTCTTCATCCCCTGTTTTTTGCAGGCAGCCTGTAGTGGGTGGGGCCTGCCAGGCACCTCATACAGCACGGTGATGCTGTTACTGCTCTTTTACAAGGTAATATCTGGATTTGCGAAGTGATTGGTTCACACACAAAGTGGATTTATAGCCTTTGTCGTTGTGAAATATATTTAAGTTTTTTTTTTTTTTTTTTGCCTGTTAAGTCCACCTCACCTTGTCCTGTCTGGCTATATGTGCTAACTCGGCAGCACAGTGGCTAAGTGGTTAGTGCTCCTGCTTGGCAGTACTGAGGTCATTGTTTCAAATCCCAACCGCGGCACCACCTGCTTAGTTTGCATGTTCTCCCTGTGCCTGCATGGGTTTCCTCCGGGTACTCTGGTTTCCTCCCACACTCCAAAGACATACTGGTAGGTGACTTGGACCCTGTCTAAATTGTCCCTAGTATGTGTATGTATGAATGTGAGTTAGAGACCTTAGATTGTACACCCCTTGAGGGTTAGGGACCTTAGACTGTACGCCCCTTGAGGGTTAGGGACCTTAGATTGTACGCCCCTTGAGGGTTAGGGACCTTAGATTGTACACCCCTTGAGGGTTAGGGGCCTTAGATTGTACACCCCTTGAGGGTTAGGGACCTTAGATTGTACGCTCCTTGAGGGTTAGGGACCTTAGATTGTACACCCCTTGAGGGTTAGGGACCTTAGATTGTACACCCCTTGAGGGTTAGGGACTGATGTAAATGTACAATATATATATAATAATAGCTCTGAGTAAATTGATGGCGCTATATAAGTACCTGAAATAAATAAACTGAATTAGGGATGATTGAATTCTGGCTGTCATGGTTCTAGTACTTTGCTCTGTTTTAGTATGGAAGTTGGAATAATGTACGTTCTGTTTGTCCCGGATGGCGTGTTTCCCGTCTTTCACCTGTAAATCTCCTCCAATGTATGTGTGTGAAGCGGAGCGTGCTTTATGAACAGATCTGCCATTCATTCCGGCCAGTGAAACCTTTAATTTGCTTTCAAGGAATTGACGGGAAGTGGATGAGCTGTGTGCGGCGGAATGGCGGATCATTATCCGGCCTTATTACAGCAATGCCTTCTCGCTGCAATCTCCTCTTCCCGTCAGGACAGGGGGGGGCGTTGGGAGTTGTCTGCCCACAATAACATTTGCTTACCCTTCAACAATCTAAAAAAAACAAAATGTTGCCCATTGTTCCCCTTGTCCAGATCACACCCAACAATCCCAGTCCGGACTGTGCTCAACACTCAATGTCTGTACCTCGCTCAACCCCCCCCCCCCCCTCCCTCCTTCAGGACTGTGCTCCACATCCCCCAGCGCCCACACCACCCCACCCAGACTGCTCCCAACACCCCCCCCAACCCCCATCAGAACCATGCTCAACACCCCTCCCCAAACTGGACTGTACTCAATACCCCCCACCATCCGGACTACACTCAAAACCCCCCCCCCCCCCCCCACACCGCATCCAGGACACGCTCAACACCTTCCCTATTCAGACTGCTCTCAGCAACCCCCCCATCCGCCCATAGATCACCACTGATGTAAGAAGGTAGATGTACTGGTAATACAATATCCCCCCCTTCCCTCATCTGGATTGCACTCAACACCTCCCCTATCCGGACTGCGCCCAACACCCCATTTCCCCCCCCTCCATCAGAGCCGTGCCCAGCACCCCTCCATCAGAGCCGTGCCCAGCACCCCTCCATCAGAGCCGTGCCCAGCACCCCTCCATCAGAGCCGTGCCCAGCACCCCTCCATCAGAGCCGTGCCCAGCACCCCTCCATCAGAGCCGTGCCCAGCACCCCTCCATCAGAGCCGTGCCCAGCACCCCTCCATCAGAGCCGTGCCCAGCACCCCTCCATCAGAGCCGTGCCCAGCACCCCTCCATCAGGACCGTGCCCAACACCCCTCCATCAGGACCGTGCCCAACACCCCTCCATCAGGACCGTGCCCAAACACCCCTCCATCAGGACCGTGCCCAACACCCCTCCATCAGGACCGTGCCCAACACCCCTCCCCGTGCCCAACACCCCTTCAACTGGACTGCACTCAGTACCCCTCACCATCCAGACTACACTCAAATTCCCCCCACCCCATCCAGGACACTCAACACCTTCCCTATCCATACTGCTCTCGGCAACCCCCCCTTCCCCGTCCAGACTGCGTACAACACTCCCTATACATTACCCCCCCCCCCCAATCTGCTCATAGATCACCACTGAGGTAAGAAGGTAGATGTACTGGCAATACAATACCCCCCCCCCCCCCCCCCCATCTGGCTTGCACTCAACACCTACCCCCCCCCCCCCTCTCCTGGGACTGCACTCAACACTGCCCAATTTCTCCCCCCCCCCCCCCTCCATCAGAACCATGCCCAACACCCCTCCCCCAACTGGACTGCACTCAATACCATCCACCATCCGGACTACGCTCAAAATCCGCCCACCCCCATCCCATCCAGGACACGCTCAACCCCGTCCCTATCCATGTTGCTCTCAGCAACCCCCCCCCCCCTTTCTCCTTTCAGGCTGCTCACAACACCCCCACCCCCCCCAATGCACCCATAGGTCACCACTGATGTAAGAAGGTAGATGTACTGGTAAAACAATACCCCCCCCTCTCTGGACCATGCTCAGTACCCCCCTTCCCCCATCTGGATTGCACTCAACACCCCACCCCCACTCAATAACCCCCCCCATCTGTACCAATACCCCCCTCCAGACTCCGGCTGTAGATCACCATTGATGTAAGAAGGTAGATGTACTGGTAATACAATACCCCCCCCCCCCTCTGGACCATGCTCAGTACCCCCCTTCCCCATCTTGATTGCACTCAACACCCCACCCCCACTCAATACCCTCCCCCCCCATCTGTACCAATACCCCCCCCCTCTCCAGGCTCCGGCCGTAGATCACCACTGATGTAAGAAGGTAGATGTACTGGTAATACAATACCCCCCCCCCCCCCCGGACCATGCTCCGTGCCCCCCATCTGGATTGCACTCAACATCCCACCTAATGCCCCCCCTCTGTAGACTCCGGTCGTAGATCACCACTGATGTAAGAAGGTAGATGTACTGGTAATACAATACCCCCCCCCCGGACCATGCTCCGTGCCCCCCATCTGGATTGCACTCAACATCCCACCTAATGCCCCCCCTCTGTAGACTCCGGTCGTAGATCACCACTGATGTAAGAGGTAGATGTACTGGTAATACAATACCCCCCCCCCCCCCCCCCCCCGGACCATGCTCTGTGCCCCCCATCTGGATTGCACTCAACATCCCACCTAATGCCCCCCCTCTGTAGACTCCGGTCGTAGATCACCACTGATGTAAGAAGGTAGATGTATTGGTGATCAACCTAGAAACTTGATGGAATGCTCTGATTCCAGCCTAACACCAGTGTGTCTTCCCAGAGGCAATGTAATGTTTCATAGATTTCTGGCCTTTGGTTATACCCAGCTATTCAAAAATCATATGAATGATGGGGGGGGCAATATTCCTAATTCAGAGCAAAGCCCTACCGTCCCGATTTCTCAGCGGTGAGATGACTCTATCAGGTTGCTCAATGAGATCCCCCATGTTATTATGTATAACTGATGTTGCAGCACCAATTCC